TCAAACTCAGAACTGTCCAGCTCTGCAGCTCTCTGAGCCATCACTGCTGCCTCTCCCAGACGAGACTCTTCCAACAGAAACTGACCTGACAGACAGGAAGAAACATAGATGAGCTCACAGAATTGAAAACAACTCAAACACAGCAGGCCAGAAGCCCACAGGTCAAACAGTCAGAGATCAGTGCTGAACAAGCATCCAAAAACACACAGAGACAAAGAAAGGGAGAGTGGCAGATGAAGGAGGACATGAGGCATAGTGAACCTCAGTATATCTCTATATAAAAATAATCATAATCGTAATTGTAATAATCATCAACTTATAATATAATATTCTTACTTGAATTATACATTATATACATTATTTACATAAAATCAATATAATAATAATACAAAATTTAAATTATTCATAAAATAAATGGTGAAATATTTAAAGACACTATCAAATAAAATGTCAAGTGCAATTGAGCACTTTATTAAACAAATTAGAAGGGAATCAAATCAATCAGAAAGGAAATCAGATTGTACTGTAATGCATATAGCAGTTTCCTCTCGCAGGATCCAGCTCTATTGCCTTCAGGAAGTAATGCTCTGCTTCAGACTTCTGCCCCTGTGGAGAAATTAAGAAATAATTACACCTGCACCCAACGTTATTAATGAAAGAACACAGTCATAACCAGACCCTTTAAATTTGTGCTGTATATGATGCTAGACGTTATCAACGTGTGGGAAAGTATACCTTCTTTATGGTTAGAACACTTTCTAATAAAGTACACTTCCTTTACGGTTCAGTGCTGATTGCTTACATGTTGGTGTAACCTTTGCAAATGTTCCTGTCATAAGCAGTGTGGTTATATTAGGCTTGCTTCACTGAACGGTTCTGTGGCAAACACTTCAGATAAAAGAATAAAAAATATACCCTGGAAAGCCGAGGCATTTCATGCTCTCCTTCATACGGTTCCTGAAAAGCATTCAACTACATCCAAGAGCTTTTATCAAATGCATAGACCTATAATACTTAAAGTCAAGGTTTAAAAAAAAAAAACTCTAAATGGCTTCAGATTTGAATCCAAAAGGGTAAATACAAAACAAGCTATTGTTTTAGCCTTAGCCCTAGATTTAATCTATCAACTAAAGCATTAAATTAGCTTTAGTTTTTCAGGGACATATTTAACAATATAAAAACAAACCTCAGAACCTTCAAGTTCAAACACAGACTGCTAAACTCTATACAAGGCTGTACAGAATAGTAAAAAAGAAAAGTAAATGTCCTGAATTGTTCAAGTAGAACATGCCATAACTTCAGTCATTTTGTCTGACGCTGTCCTGAATGTTTGACAGAGTAACCTAGCTAATTCACAGCAGTTCTTCAACAGCTGGTCAAAAGTTCACCAGTAACCCGTTTTCAATAAGGAAAGGGAGTAATTACATTAAGCATAAGGCTTGAAGGATAATAACCAGTTTTAAGCTGTGTGTATTTAGCGGACAGGCCGGAGAGGGGATGTTAAAGTGAGCAAACAGTCTGGATTCTTGACCAGCCGTGCTGAGACAAAAACCCAGATCAGATTAGAGGGAGGATACGAGATATCACGTCCTGGAGAGACACAGCTGCTCGACCTTTCTTCATCACCTCTCTCCATTTACATCATAGTGGTCAGAGAGGAAAATATCATAAGCGACTCGGCAACGGTTATATCGTATGCAGACAGAGACAGGGTAGTGCAAGGGGTGGAATATAAATGTGGAAATTTGAAAAGACAGGTTTTAAAGGCATCATCACAGTGATGTTGGTGTCTGAGAGACGTTTGTGTGTCAATGTTCCTCTCAAGGACAAAGCAATTAAAAGAAACCTCAGCACTAAGAGTCTCATGAAAGGTCATCTGTGGCTCAAAAGATTTTAATAACCAGATATTGTTGGAGTCTTCTTTCCACTTATTCTCCCCTTTTCTAGTTTGAAATGATAAATTAATTATTTAATATTTAATTACGCTTTCACAAATCCATTTAGCTTCAGGATTTTACATTCATACTGAAAATGTAATAGCAGCCACAGTGTGTTAAAAATACAGCAGAAAAAACCCTGAGAACACTAATAAAAATGTTTCTATTTTACCTAAACATGAATATAAAAATATAATAATAATAATAATAAACAATTATTCTACCTTGTTCTTCAATTATTCTAGCCCCTGGGCTTACACATTGCAATTTTAATTGCAAGTAAACAAAATAAATTAAAACATTTTTTACATGTTTTGTTTTTTGAGGTTTAAATATGATTTTTTTTTTATATAATTGTAGATTTTCAATGCTGTCTCAGACTTTCAGGCACCACTGTATATTTTGTTTTATCTTATGATATTCACAATGACTGTTGAAATTATCCCCAATTTTCTTTGACAGAAGAAAAGCTCACAAACACAAAGGGGTAATAATGCACTTGACAGCTTGACTCACTATGATAGACAGCAGTTTTCCATAGGTCAGGTGGGCAGGAATATGGTCAGGTTTGGCCTTCAGAGATTCTCTGTACCAGTGTCCTGCCTCCTCTAGATTATTCAGTCTCATATATGCCTCACCTATGGGCCAAAGTCAGACAGACGTGCAAAATTACCTAGAATTCCCTCCACTTCATGCCAACAAATCTAATGCAGATGTCATGGGATGAGTTTGAGGAGTTATGGAAGACCTTTTGATTGGCAGACATAACTTTTGGAGCAATATGTTTGTAATCATACATTGTAACTGAATTTGACTCAGGCACAAAGAAGAACATGTGACTAAGCAACTGAGCTTGCCAAAGACTATAAGTTAAAATTCCAATACCAAGCTCCTTTTCTTTACTCCCTAAAA